TGTAATTAACTGCGAGTAAATTTAAAAAAGATTATCATATTAATTGTTCACCAAGTGATTCAATTTTCTCATCCATTAAATCAGATTAAAAAAAAAGCCAAATCTTTTTCTTCCTCAAGAACTACTTGATTGGATTTTATGTGACAAAAAAAAATATTGTAATACTCGTGAGTTATTTCCACCATATTTTCCTTATTGAGACTCATAAGTTTAAATTTGCCGTGGAAAAAGGTAAGTTTATTCAGAGAAAGAACAGTTTCGTGTCAGATTCCATAATTTAAATTATCTTCCGAACAAATTACGAATATTGCATCCAATTGAAAAAAAGGTCTTTCTGATTGTATCAAAAATAATTAAGGTGTTCTTTTTTTTATTAAATATTATTATTAATAATATTTCTTTTATCCCCCGCACTTACCCAAGATGTTAAGGGGCTCGCAAGTTCCATTGTTGTATAATCCATCTATAGTCTTAACAACACAGCATTCGTCTTCTTTACAATCTTCTTCTGTTTGACAGTTTTTTTTCAGGCCTTCTTCTAAACTAGAAACCTTCCAATTAAAATTAGCTTTCGGTTAAGCAAATGATTACAGTTTAGTGTAATACAAAGACAAACGATCACAATAATAAATGGTAGCATAAGGATCAACATCAAACAACTTTCTGGGTTCAGAAAATAAAGCTATGAAAAAGCTTCTATTTTGAGCTAAATAAATAAGTGGAATTATGATAAAATTTAAAATTTTCATGCGTACAAAAATTTATTGGCTCGCACCAAACACAGTGCTGATTCAGTGGTAGACGGATCACCGGTTAGAGTTCCCTTGGCTAACCATGACAGCTTTTCGTGGTTTTCTTCTGCATGTAAAGCAAATGCTGGTTATTTCTATCAAGAAGTCTTCCATGTAGGCCAAATTGTGCCAATTATTTATTCCGAAGTTCTCTTTTCTTCTGGGTTGGGTTCGCAATTACAAGGCTACGGAGTTGAGAACTGATAGCTGTTAACTGAGGATTGTGTTGGCTATTCAACACCGGTTATAAAATAATATCAATAATATTAATTTTTCTTTTTCAATTCACAATTAAACTAATTGAAATGAAAATGATATAAAAACATGAGTTTTTAAAAATCCGCCTCTAATACAAAAACATGAAGATATTACAAATTAAAACGTAAACGAAAACAGGAAAATAATACAAAAAGATGCATTGAAAATATTAATATAAATAGTAAAAATTAAAAAAAAGAATATTCGAATTTTTAGGTCGATTTTATTTTAAGCAACAACTTAAGTTAACTTTTTTTTGTGTATATATATATATATATACACTGAGTGGCCAAATTATTATGACCACCCCTTCAGTGCGCTGTTGGGCCACCTTTTGCGCAAATTACTGCCTTAATTCGTCTGGGCATGGATTGTATGAGATGTTGGTAGGTGGTGGAAAGTATGCCAGACCATACTCGCTGAACTGCACTTGCCGATTTCTGCAAATTTCATGATACTGGATCCATCTGTCTAAGCGCCCGTTCAATTTCATCCCACAAATTCTCAATTGGATTGAGATCTGGGGATTATGCTGGCCAACGAAGCAAGTTAAATTCTCTATCATGCTCTTCGACCCATCTGGGGACAATACCAGTTTTATGACAAGGAGCGTTGTCCTGCTGGAAGTATCCATCCCCGCCAGAGTACACCATTGACATAAACGGATTTACTTGATCTGCGACGATACTTAAATACCCTTGGGCATTAAGGCGTTGTGGTACAGGAATTAAAGGACCCATACAATACCAAGAGAGCATTCCCCATACCATAACGTTGCCACCACCAGCTTGAAGTGTCGTGGCAATGCAGTTGGGGTCCATGTTTTCGTGCTGTTTTCTCCATATTCTCATCCTGCCATCTGCGCGATGTATTTGAAATCGTGATTCATCGGAGCACATGACCCTCTTCCAGTCATCTATTGTCCAATGTTTGTGCTCCTTTGAAAATTGGAGACATCTGCGGTTATTTAAAGTAGACAATAGAGGCTTACGAACAGGTCGCCTGCTTCCATACCCAATACGGCGCAATGTGCGTCGAACAGTCCGTTCAGAGACGTTCACAGTTGCTCCTTGATTGAGATCACTTGCAATTTGTCGCACTGTTGCTCTCCTGTTGCGCTGCACAACCGTGGCCAGCCTTCTCTCTGATCGAGCATTCAGTATCCTGTGACGACCACAAGTCTGACGTTGAGACCCGGTTTTTTGCTTGATTGTCCATTCTTTGCACACATTAACAACTGCTGCTCTAGAACACTTCACAAGTGCAACCGTTTTGCTGATACTCGTTCCGACACATCTCGCACCCACAATCTTTCCACGTTGAAACTCAGTTAAATCACTTTTCTTTCCCATATCTGAGCAAGCAACACAGTATAACTGATGACTCACTTGTCCATCATTCCTGTGTTATAGTTATCTTGCCCTCTAGCGTCAGCGCTGTGACGCAATAACTCATTTGCNTGAAAATATTAATATAAATAGTAAAAATAAAATAAAAAAGAATATTCGAATTTTTAGGTCGATTTTATTTTAAGCAACAACTTAAGTTAATTTTTTTTTCTTTTTTTTTTGTATATATATATATATAAATATATAAATTTCAGATTCTTTTTTAATGTTATATTCTTACCTTAATACCTACTCCTATACAGCAGAAAATATAAATAGTTAACTTCATAATTAAAAATATTTTATCTGACAGCCTTTGTTAATATTACCTTCAAATTTAACCTCAAGAAGTATGCTGAATAAATCAAAAAGTCAAGTTATTTATTTAAAACAAAAGAAATAAATTTTGAACTCTTATTTTACTTTGAAAATTGCGAAATTAAAACGAAAACTGAATCTTTATTCTTTTATAGACAATGGAAATATTCTGAAATGTTTGTTTAAATCATTTTTTCATCCAAATAGCTGGTGATACTAAATTCTAACTTTTTAATTGTTTATTAATTCCTGCAAAACTCACACAATGAAATTATTATAAATTCTTGGGGAAAAAATAAACCACTTTCGAGGTATTTAAATACATGTTTTGCCTAAATTTGTTATTTTGAAGTCCAATTATTGTGATTAGTTGTTGTTTAATTGAACCAAATTTTATAAACTTAAAATAAATGATTTTTTTTTAAATAAAGAAAAAGTCAATACATTGAAAAAATTACGGCAAAACTTTTTATGGGACAATCGCGTTTTACTGGAATAAATTTGGTACCAAAATAATCTGATATACCATATTGTTTACGGTAATAATTACCGTAAGATCACTCTAACTAAATAAATATTACTGTAAAATATGCTCTATAATATTTTACAGTAAAAAATACATTCTACGCATGAATCGCCCAAGGAGTCTGTACTTCATCCAGAGTTTTTTACAGAGCACGCGCAATCGTATTGAAGTTTGGTAAAGTTTTCTCATTGTATTTTTCTTAAGAAAAAATTCTTCTAAATAATGAAAGGTATTAATTGCTTTAAGTTATTACGAATTAACTAAACAATATTTCATAAAATCAATTTTTCAATCTTAAATCAACGCTTGACTTAAGAGATCAGATGTGATTTTTAAATATCTATCTGAATTTTTTGAATAAGAATTTAGTTTTAAATTTATAATTAAATCCAAAATCAAACAATGAAGATTCATTCGAGTTCAATTAACTGAAAGAAAATTTGTTTTTGCTTATAGCATAGAAATTTCAAATGAAATTTTATGTATGTTCTCAATGATGAAGAGTTATTTTTTATTTATTAAGCAATAGGAGAGAGCTATTCTATCATAAAATGGTTTTAATTGTTGTGAAAGATTTCTTTAACTGATTCTGTTTTATTGCACTGAGAAAAAAATATAGAATATGGACTACTAGAATATGGTAAAATTTACCTTGTTTTTCGCTCTATACGATCATCAAATATGATAAATCTGGTAAATAACTTTAATATGATGCCTTAAAGCAAGGCATGCAAACCACTTATTCGGTAAAATTAACTTTTCAGTCTTGTATTTATTTACTAATCATACCATACCATATACCATACCTTATTACCATATGAACTGAAAAATTATAAAATACCGTATTTTTGGTTTTATTAACCTGAATTATGAGCTTTTTTTTACCAGAAATGTCATTACCGTACCGTACGGTAATTTTACTCGAATTGTTTTTCTTATAATCGCTTCATTTTTAATAATTTGGTTTTTACAACGTAATCACTTTAGCACGGGAGGCTTCACCCTTTGCTCGTTTCACTTACCTACCCCCGTGATTGACAGCAGACTAAATTTTACATCAAATCAAAACAATGCAATTAAATAAATGCAAAATCTTTTGTTGTAAGAACACAGATTCGATTCTGACAGCCTTAATTTAAAATTCTGTTAATAAAACTGAACCTAATCTAAATCCAGCTTCATCCATTAACTTAACTAGTTTCAAAAAAATTCTTCTTTACTCTAAATTGTTTTAAATATCTTTCGTCGATGTGAGTTATTAAAAATTGTACGAAAATATCATTTTTAAAAAATTACTTCGCATTCGTTCTTTTAATTGCATGTGTTTCCTTAACACAGTTTTGCATTAAATTTATTATAAATGAAAATATAGCTTCTTGAAAAGTTTTAAAAAAAGATGCATTTATTGTTAAATAATTGTGAAACTATTACTAAATATTTTTTTCATAAAATGTTGATTAATAAAGTAATATATGATTACTTCATGATATAATAAGGGAATAATATTTTTAATTTAATAATAAGTTTTTATTTTTGAATTTTAATCAGAATCCAAAACGTATATACATATAATATATATATGTATATATATATATAATTGTTTTCATACTTTAGTTTTGTCTTGTGTTAACAATGTATAAGTTGATTAATTAGATGAGAACATCATTGGTTTAAATAAACAGCTGTAATGTGTAGTTATAGGTATATAAATGACTTAGAAATCTGTAAAATATTTTAATAATTCTTAAATATTTATAAATACATTATCATTATATTAAAACTCTTATCAACATCTAGTTCAGGTTACTATTCAATGTCTGGTTCAGGTTCGGGTTCTTCGTCTGGGTCAGGCTCGAGCTCATCGTCGATTTTAGGTTCTTCTTCCGTAGATGTCGGCGTTTCTGTGGAAGTTATTTCAACTACTACTTCTTCCGTAGATGTCGGCGTTTCCGTGGAAGTTATTTCAACTACTACTTCTGCCTTTGTAGTCTCCTCTTCTGGCTTTTTTGTATCTTTTTCGACAGATGGAGAAGTCATCTTACTCTCTTTTTCGACTGATGGAGAAGTCTTATCCTCTTTTTGGCATCTCATTTTGCTTAATTTTGATGGCATCTATATAAATGCAAATACAATTCATAAAATATAATTTGTGAAGAATGTCTACTTATTTAAAGTAGCAGTTTGAGACAGCAGCCTGTTGTTCTTCGAAAGGATAAATTATGATAAATAATTTACGAACACGAATGAGCGTCAGAATTTTTTATAATACTAAAACAATTTCTGAAGATCTCAACTTAACTTCAAACAAAATTTCTCAAATTTAATAATTGTCTTCTTTTTTTTACTTTTCAGTACACCTTTCTTGCCACATTTTATAATAAACCTTAACTTAAGACATTTTTGAAAATTTAAAAAATATTTTAAATTTAAAAAAATAAACAAATAAATAAATAGCAATTGAATTGCGCAATGTATTTGAATATGACAAAATTAATATTGAAAAATTAAGTATTTTTTAATTTTTTTTTAAAGTTTTTCCAACAAAAAATTATTTTAATAGCTTTTTTAATAAATAAATTTATATTTTTTTATCTGAAACTACAATTCTAGTAAATTTGACTCTAATTTTTAAAAAATTAGCTTAGCTCTAATTTATATTTAGGTAATAAAAAAAACTACTATAATTTTTCTCTTTCTAATACATTTAGGTGAAATAATTTGGATTTATATATATTAATGCTAGATAATTGCAGTCTTAGAAGCCTTTGTTAGCTTGTTTAAGCATAATAACATGCAGTCGGATGATTGAGTATTTGGGCTGATAAACGGTAATTTATTGTTTTGTTTACTCATAAGGTTTTTTTTTTTTTTAATTTTTAAAATAAATATTTTCATGTTTTATTTTTTTGTAAGATATAATTTTTTTCCTTAAATTATGAGAAAATAATGACGATTGCATTAAATTTTAATTGCCACTTTGCCACTACATTTCATTTAGTTCATTTTAATTGCCACTACATCCTTTTTTAAAGCTCCTTGAGTCTAAATTACTTCTAACAATCGGTAAGAACTAAAGATCTCGATTTTTTCTTTGCAGAAAGTAGATCGGATGATTTCAGAGGTCCGAAGAATTTCGCGATGAAACATTGTTTTGCTTAAATTTTTATTCAAAATTTTCTTAGTCGAATCAATCTTAATTTTTGTCCATAAAACACTGATAATTAGTTCCGACTAAGTTCGTTCTCATGCAGATTATTACGTCAAGCTTTCAGGTATCATAATTTTGATCTAGTTGCGCTTGTATAATTTTGATCTAGTTGCGCTTTCTACGTCATTTTGTTAACATCGTTTTGATTGTCATTTCTAAGTTAACTTTCAAAAAATTCTATGGGTGGCAACAGCATTTTTATTTTTTAAGTTGTTTATTTTTATTTCTTTTAGATTTCGTTCTTTTTAAGTGAAATGCTTTTTAACCTAACAGAATTCTTTGCCGACTGTTATCTCTATATATGAAGGAAATAATGTAAATATTTAAGTGTTGTGAAAAGAATCTTATTTAGTTGTACAAAGTACTTCCCAGATCTTTTAATTTCTCCATCACTTTTTGGTTTACAAAATTTTAATGATAATTGAAACAGAGTCAATTTTATCGTAGCATTGTTGTGTATAATACGAAAAAGTAATATTTAACAAATAAACAGCTTTTTAAGCAAAATTTAAATCAAACTTACATCTGTAACTCCTGGTCTTAATCCTTTAGGTTTGCATGCCATACCGTCTCCACACGGGCAATAGTGCATGAACTTTCCACCATAATAATCTTGTTTAGCTTCCCATTCACTGCATCTGGCACCTTCAATTATATAATTTTAAGAAACTAAATAGTAATTGACAAGAAAGACGAGGCAAATGAAAGATAAGGGGAAAAATTAACAGTGATGTTAACACACTTAATGGAGTTACGGTACGTGTATTGAAATTGCGCCATGCGTAAAATAAAATAAACCCACTCAAATGTAATCGTAATTCAGCAGTACAAATTCGTTACCCCCAATAGAAGTGACCCTATTCAGATCTCTACAGAACCAGTTCTGCTAATTAGATTTTGATATTTTAATGAAACTTGGTATATACGTTATATGGACAAAGGAAAGATGACTTCTGCAAAAAAATAGTTCAAAATTCGATCATTCGATGAACATTTCGAAAATTCCTTATGCAAATTAGTGAAACCTATAAAAGGTCTTGCAGTTAGAGCCAGAAAAATATTCCCTGTGTGCGTTTATCATCATTGAAAGACATTTTATCTGTACGTCTTTCAAAGATATTACAAAAGGGTCTCTTGTTTAAGAAATGTTTGAAAGAGTTGATTAAGGAACATAACGAAACTTGAGACTTGGGTGTACTGACCAGATGGGTATGAAACTATTAAAAAAACTCGCTGGTGCAGTGATTGAAAGAGTCACCAGTTCCAACTATTCTCCAGAAAGTGCTCGATCTGTGTTATGTGAATTGGCGATTCCACTGTCAACCTTCCGAAAATTTTGCGTTTCATTTTTTTAAAAAAATGGTATCCGTTTTCGATACACGTGGTGCAAGTATTCTAATCTGAAGACCATCCAACACACTCTGAATTTCCTCCCCAATTCTTGACAAGAATTAATGACGCGTGGCTTTAGAAAATTCTATGGTCAAATGAGAGACACTTTTCTTAAGAGGTAGCTGTGAATAGCATCACTACGCACGACAGAACAGTCACGCGACACTTACAATCCTACGGTAGATGACAGTATTTATATTCACATTTCAATACTGTTTGAAAACTATCTTTATACTTAGGAAATAAACTACCGTGTTGATTTATCAGTGATTGATACAATAAAAGAAAAACGACAGTGCAGGATAAATAAAGNATCCGTTTTCGATACACGTGGTGCAAGTATTCTAATCTGAAGACCATCCAACACACTCTGAATTTCCTCCCCAATTTTTGACAAGAATTAATGACGCGTGGCTTTAGAAAATTCTATGGTCAAATGAGAGACACTTTTCTTAAGAGGGAGCTGTGAATAGCATCACTACACACGACAGAACAGTCACGTGACACTTACAATCCTACGGTAGATACAGTATTTATATTCACATTTCAATACTGTTTTAAAACTATCTGTATACTTAGGAAATGAACTACCGTGTTGATCTATCAGTGATTGTTACAATAAAAGGACAATTTCTTTAATATATTTTTTTCTTTAATTTCTGAATTAAAATTGCTAAGTTACTGTGCACTAAATTTGCGATTGAAGCATTGCATTGCGCTATGCATCAAAGGAAGAGTGATTCTGTAAAAAGCTAAATGCTCTACTAAACGTAATGTTATTTCAATAACTACAATGTTTTCCAATGCTTGTAACTGCATATTTTCTGAACTACGCTTAAATAAATCGATACATTATGTTTTATATGTTTAATGTACCATAAACGAAGAGTTGCATGAGTAATTAAATGAAAATATTAGCTAAATTATTTATACTCTTAGTTTTTACGAGAAAAGAAGTTTTCCTAATAATATAATATTCTGCATTGTTCATAACTTTTTTTTTCTTGAGGAAAATAATTCTTTGAATCCAACAACTACTAATAATAATGACTTAGGAAATATTTCAAAAAAATACAAATTCATGAGAAATTTCTTTTTGTTTTTATTAATAAGCATTTATTTCATATAAATTAACGAGTTTAGTATACGTATTCGAAACCGAGATACTTGTGTGGTTATCACGTGATACTCTATGGTGGCGACATCTATAATCAAAATTGCCGCATGTGGGGTGCTTCACCCCCTAATGATATGCACTAATTACTGCTGCGTTCTGACTACGTGACTGCTTGGTGTGGATTTACTGCTGATTTTAATCTCTGACCGTTTATCTTTGAAACTTTCACTTCTCAAGGCCCTAAAACTTGAGCATGCAGAAATACTTTGTAGTGAGACTTTCTAAAGTCAGTTACCAATTCAGTTTTAAAAAATGTGTTCACAAGATTTAAGATAAAAATAATTTACATTAATATATTATAATGGGCGTGTTTTTATTATGCCTCCAAACTAAATTATTCTAAATTAATTTGTAAATTTCGCAGCGCGTTGAACGATATTATCGTCCAAGTTTTTTAGAAGTTTAACATGGTGGTTGTTCACAGGTTTTGTGGTCTTTGACTTTACTGTTCATTGACTTTATGGTGAGTGTTCACATAACTTATACAAACAGAAATGTTAGAAATTAATTTGGAAATTTTGGAGTAAGTTGCACCATAATATAGTCCTAAGTTTGTAACTTTAATGATTGTGCTAAGTTGATCAATATTATTGCACTTTTTAAAAACAAACTATGAAATCAGGTAATAATGCTATAGGTTTTATCTGTTATTTAAAATAGAAAACGTGTATTTAAAATGAGAGTACTTTTTTTTAAAAAACTAAGAAATAAGGAAAGAGAAACAAATTATTTCACGATTTGTATAAGGAAATAAAATGTACCTAATCTGTTTAACTTTAGGCAAATTCCTTTTTTTTTCATACTCGACACTGTCAACGCTACACAACATCTGTCGTCATCACAATCGTCTGCCGTGGTGCACAATTTTCCGTACGTCACACTCTAAATTAAATAGCCAACAATCAATATAAAATACAAAAAAATTTTTAGTAAAATATCATTGCTATCAAGTGAATTACGAAGTTACAAAAACACCGACTTAACAATAAGTACCGAATAGATACATTGTTTTGAAAAAAAATTAAAAAAGCTTGAGAAACAAAAGAAAATATAAATAAATTATACTTTTATAAGTAGATGTTAATACCTTAAACTATTTTTTTTAAAAGAGGCAGTAGAGATTTGATAGTGAGACTTGATACAAAAACTTATCTTTCTAATCTTTTCAATATTTTTTGTCTCATCTTCTAATATTTATAACTACTAATTTTAGCAAATAAATTTTACGAGCCAATTGGAGATCACCAAATAATTTGATACACATTACTATCTAATATTAGTACTGGGCAGTCAGAAGTTGATAATAAGTTTGATTTCTCTAATGTTATATAATGTTTGCATACTGTGTAAAAACCTTCTGTTCTTAATTTTAATTGCTTTTTATTGGACAATATAATTAAATGATGACACTAGGTTTAAAAGTAATTGTAAAAAAATACCTGGTCATCAAAAGTGGACCTGTAAAAATTGTCCTTTCAATAAAGGCAAATCACAAATACCGAAATTAGACCTGTTTTTAGTCCGCTTAAAATCATATTGAAAAAAATTGAAAAAAAATTACCAGCAATATTTCTAAAATATTTTCTATTTTGAATGAAACGAAAATCTAATACGATTAATTTATTAAAGTTAAAATAAATAGAAGGAATATTCTTAAGTTTTAATTTTGATGAAATAAATAAGAAGGTTTATATTAAAAATTATCATCAACATGTTAAGAATTATGCTACTCTTAGTATATTGGCGACTTTTTGATAAGTATTAATTCAAACTAGAATATATTAATATATTTTATTCATTTCATTCAGCGACTATGGTTCTCGGCCTTTTAATATACATAAAATGTCGAATTAGCGGCGAAAACTATAAATTTGAAATTTGGACTGAAATACGTAATTTTTTACCAGCATTCAGTATAAAAAATTTTACAGTAATAAGTGTTTCGACATATGGCTTAAATAAATACCTTTTTTACTATAGATATAAAATGTTAACGAAAAGAATGTAATTTTTTTCTACTTTAAAAAGTTAAAAAATATATCTTTTTAAAGGATATATTTGAAATTTACAGTTTCAGCACTTTTGCTCTTGCTAAATTTCACGACAGTCAAATTAAAATATTATAAAGCTATTTACATTTTATGTACAAAAATGATATTTTAAGACATTTAATACTAAGCCTATTTCAAGCTACATAATTATTATACATCATTAGTTTCTAGTGAAATTAACTTCAACAATTTTTGGGCTCAGATTAGCCTTAAAAAATTAAATCTCAAATAAAGTGTCACCAAAAATCTGTATTTTAAATATTTCGATAATAATCAAGACAACGGTGATAGGCTAAATAGAGAAAATTTTGAAAAATTTATCTTGAAAATTTTATCTTTAACTCAAACTTCAGTTACTAGTTTATCGGAATTGCGATAGATTAAGAAAATTATGTTGTTGAAGGAAATTAAAAACATGCATGCAGCGTGTCTTCTTAGCGAAAAGAATAAAAATATCAGTGACCTTTTAAAAATAATTATACAAATATTATTACAAAAATAAGCTAATTTACATTTCAAAATTTCAATTATGACTAAAATAAGTAAAATTTACCAAAGAAACCAAAACGAGGGCTAAAGCTAACAACAACTTCATCTTTAATCTTTTAACTTCACAAAATAGGATATTGTGCTTTGTTTGAAGCTTTTATAAATTATTTTGATAAGAATGTTTTGATATCCTGCCCCATGCATGTGATAAAAGAAAACCTTGATTCTGATATATTTATCAAATATTATTCTAAATTTTGCGTTTTTTTAACAAACTTCGCATTTAGCCAATATAAAATAAGTGTTATAAACAATTTCCCATGCATGTGATAAAAAAAACCTTGATTCTGATATATTTATCAAATATTATTCTACATTTTGCGTTCTTTTTTTTAACAAACTTCGCATTTAGCCAATATAAAATAAGTGTTATATACAATTTCCCATGCATGTGATAAGAAAAAACCTTGATTCTGATATATTTATCAAATATTATTCTATATTATGCTTTCTTTTTTAACAAACTTCGCATTTAGTCAATATAAAATAAGTGTTATATACAATTTCCCATGCATGTGATAAAAAAAAAATAATTTGATTCTGATATATTTATCAAATATTATTCTAAATTTTGCGTTTTTTTTTTTAACAAACTTCGCATTTAGCTGATATAAAATAAGTGTTACATATAATTTTCAATAATGAAGAAATGTAATTTTANTTTATCAAATATTATTCTAAATTTTGCGTTTTTTTTAACAAACTTCGCATTTAGCCAATATAAAATAAGTGTTATATACAATTTCCCATGCATGTGATAAAAAAAACCTTTATTCTGATATATTTATCAAATATTATTCTAAATTTTGCGTTTTTTTAACGAACTTCGCATTTAGCCAATATGAAATAAGTGTTGTATGAAATTTTCAATGATGAAGAAATGTAATTTTAAATTAGATAAATTAAATCCCAAAAAGGAAAACTAAAATGAAATTATAACTCGAACTATGTTTCTTAAAACTATATTTCTGCTATTATACAGCTAATAAGTCTGTTAATCATTAAATGCGTTATTTTCAGTGTTTTTAAATGTTCTTAATATTAAATGGTGAGTGCTAACAAAAGTAAATTCGCGTGATTTTAAAATCATGCTGCTCCCAATTTTCGATAAACATTCCTTCATGGATCCAGAGAATAATTAATTTAAGGGATCAATAATTACAAACGACTCATTTTAATTATAAAATGTAACTCATTTAATTGTGTAATACAAATATCCCAATCTCTCCTTCTCTTTATAAAACTTTAAAATATTATATTGTAAAAAAAAAGATTGTAAAGTCAATATTAGCTTTAAAAAAAAACTTTTTTTTCTCCATCAGATATCTAAAAAAAATATTTACAAATGCTTAATATCAGCCTCGTAAACAATTAATGTCAATTTATCACCTGCTAAAAGCTTATATCAAATTGTTTTAACAATACAATCCATTAAAAGAATTTTATGATATAAAATTTCTTACATATCGGGTAATGTGGCAATATATATTCAGAATGGAAATTTTTCCTTTCCTCATAAAATAAGATTGCCGAGACAGGAGTAATCGTTGATTCTGATTTGAATTTTAAGCACAAGTATCAGTCAGCGCACAGTTTTCAATAATATTTAGATTTATCAATTATGATTTAACTAAATATTTTATTCAAATTTTACGTATTTAAATAAGTAAAATTTTTAATGTTGCATGTAAGTTATTATATTTTCAACAAATTATATTTGAACGAATGTTATCAATAAGAAAATTATAAGAAGAACAAAATACATTACTCTTTTTTTAATAATTTATCAGTTTCTTAACGGAAATCAATTATAATTAAACACTTTGAAAGAAAAAGAAAAAATTTTAATGTTGCATGCAAGTTATTATATTTTCAACAAAGTATATTTGAACAAATGTTATCAATAAGAAAATTATAAGAAGAACAAAATAAATTATACTTTTTTAATAGTTTATCAGTTTCTTAACGGAAATCAATTATAATTAAACACTTTGAAAAGAAAAGAAAAAATTTTAATGTTGCATGCAAGTTATTATATTTTCAACAAAGTATATTTGAACGAATGTTATCAATAAGAAAATTATAAGAAGAACAAAATAAATTATTCTTTTTTTAATAATTTATCAGTTTCTCAACGGAAATGTATTATAATTAAATACTTTAAAAGGGAAAGAATTTATTAAATTTCTCCAAAGTAAATTTTCAAATTAGAGTAAGAAATATTTATATACTGACTTTATTGTTTCAAGGTTTTATCAAGTTCTGTCTTTAATTTCGAAATTCATCTTCTAATGTTAAAATAATTGAAATATATAAGATTCGAAACCTATAGTTTCTTATAAGTAAGGGTAAATAAACTTTCAATTTCAACAAAACATTCTGATTATAGATATAATATACCTAATCTTTCAAAAATTGTCATAATTAATTATATTTGATTCAAAAACACAATTCTTAATTAAAAATAATAGAAAACAATTCTTCTCATGTATCATTTGCAAGACCTGCTCAATTTCTTTTCTAAACGTACTTCAAAATATAAATAAATTCTGCATGCCTATTTTCTACAAGATTATTGTTGTTGTTTTTTTCTTAATTAACACAGCGTACATACAGATTGCTTTTTAAGAAATAATTATCTTCCGAAAATGGTCTTCATGTTTTATTTCATTCGAAAACATAATTTTTAATTGTGAGTTACAGTAAACTTTTCTTATCATACACCATTTGCAGGGTCATTTTTTATACTAATTCTTTACTACTTTTTTTTTATTTTGAAATAAACTCGGAACTCACAGAAAAAAAAGTCTGCTTCCAAATTTTATGCAGATGCAAAATTATCTATTTAGTAAACTTGATCATCCGAAAGTTGTCCTTGTATATTTCATTTCATTCAAAACGAAATTACGCAAAAACTATTAAAATTTACAGGAAAAAAAACTTTTTTTTAAAATTTGACTCCTCAAGAACTATTCGACCGATTTCGCTCAAAAATCGCTATTTCGTATTTTCCTGCGTAAAATTACATTCCTTTAAATTTTGCAGAAAAATGCAGACGTTGCAATTCAAAGATTTTTTAATAAACATTTCCACACCATTTTTAAATAAAATAATAAAGAAATAATAAATATTTACTAAAGTTATTTTTTGCGTTGAATTATCTTTGGATAAACGAATTTTATAATTGTGTTCAAAAAATTTTCAATTCTCTTAAAAAATTCCCGAGATAGCGAAATACACAAAAAATAAAATAATATTTAGGGGTCTAAACTTTGAGCCACTCTCCTGATCAAACTGTTAGAAACCTATTTCCCAGATTGCGACTACCCCCTATACTTTGGGAGTCAGAACTTTGAATCCATAGAATAAAAAGGTATTTTTATTTAAATAAAGAAAGTTTTTTTGTTCGATTTCGTAATTTTAATTATGATCTGCACTTTTTAATTGGTAGCTTTGCGCTCAATCCCTCGACTCATTAGTATTGAGTCCTATAACGTGAAGATCCGGTTATAAAATCAAAAGCTACTTAGGGTGGTTAGTTTATTTTTTGGCGCACTATACGCTATACACCAATTTTAGTATAGTTTTTATTCAAATTCTTCACTATTCTTCTCATTTGAAAACATAGATTAAGTCTGCATCCATATTTTCTTAAAAGTACAGTAAAATTTATTTTAAAAGTTCATACACTTAAGAAATTATCAGTTTTAGCATGCGAAATACGAATTAAAATATTTCAATGTACAGTACAGAACCCGTTATCCGGAAATCAGAAAACCGGAAAACCAAAAAACCGGAACGAACTTCGATAAATTTTCCCACCATTTTTTTTAAACAATGTTTTTTCCCTATAAGATTTTAGGATTTTTCTTTCTTTTTTGATAGATGTTTACCTTACCATCATTTTGGAAATAATCGTTACTGTATTTACTTCATCGTTTTTTCTTTTTTTTTAAAATTATTTCCAAATATTTTTTTTTTTTAGTTGGGTTTAACAATAAAAAAACGGCTTTTTGTAGCGATTTAGAAAACCGGAAAAATCAGTTATCCGGAATAGCGATGGTCCCGATCGTTCCGGATAATCGGTTCCCTACTGTATTATCCCAAATTAAATATTAGAAAACGATTCAAAACAAATGCCAAATTAAAAATCATTTCTTGTTCATAAAACATGTTACTTTCCTTTCGCTTTCAAGCGTCACATAACATAGTTTCTGTTAATGTAAAATAAGCCGCAATCCAATAAATTGTGACTTGTCTTATACACGGTGCGTAGCGTTTTTAAAAAGTGTTTAAAGGTGCTTACTTTCGAGTTTCGTTACTTAGAAGCCCTTAAAGGTACTTTTTTCATTGGGTGCGTCAGAAACTGGCTATTTTACCATGATCATGTAAAGTCTTTGAAAATTATTTTGCATTTTATTAATGCATATAGTGGCTTAAAAATATTTTTGAGTGCTTAAAAAGTACTTAAAAGGTGCTTATTTTTGTTGAAAGATTTGGCTACGCACCCTGTTATAAAAAAAAATATTTTGATATATTTGAATTCTATATTTCAGTAAAACGTCATGCTACAAATTAAGAGATTTAACACATGCGTTTGCCAATTTGAACACTTCCAAAGTGGTCTACTAATTTTTTTTATTAAACTTCCGGTTTTTAAATAACGTGAACTTTATAACGATGCTTTTTTAAGACAACACTATTCAACAATGAGGCATTTAGGTAGAATTAAGTTTGACACATTTTAAAAGATTGCACAGAAGCAAATTTTCATAAACTTAAACATACAACACCTTATATTCTCAATTTTTAAAAATAAGTTCTATAATTATTTATAAATTGTTAATAAAACAAATTTTAGCAAATTAGATTTTCTAGGAAGCAAATAATTCTATAATCATAAATTATAAGCTACACTGAATTCAAGAGATAAATTTCACAGTTTTTTTTTAACAAAAAGGAGAATACAATTTTTTTTCTATACTTTAACTTGAGATAAGAGAGCATACTTGTCTCAATTTGCAAGCAAATTTAAGAGAAAATATATTTACAGCTCGCTTATCACATTAATATTTGCGTCAATTCGAGTGGAAATTACACCAAGGTATTGTTCAGTAGCAAGATTACAATATTTGCAATATTTCTATTATCTACAGC